TTGCATATAAAATATTCACACCACGCACATAATGTTTACTGCGTACTCCATAGTCAATGTAGATAATTTTAGTGTTAAGAATAATAATTTTAAAAAATATGTGGTCATCTTTTGATAAGTTTATATTAGTTTATTAATTGCAGTAAACATTATGAGGTGTGAATTATATTGTATATGCAATTTTTTGGATTATATTCGACACTATTTTTTTCATATGACACAACACTGATGGAGGCTATAATGTTAGCCGAAACGTTTTTTTTTAAACCAAATAAAAATAATGAAAACCCAAATGAAAACTTAATCAGCGTTTTTCCCGAACCTAAAAATCCCAAGAAAATCAAAAATTTTAGAATAATTTAACATATAAAATGCCAGCGATCTTCATTTCATAGCCATCGCTGACGCCTTTTTTTAGATAATATTGTATTATTTGTAAATATAATTTTTCGAACATTGATACTTGCAAAATATACATATAAATTTTGTGAATGCAAATAATAATACATCACTATTAGTAGATATTAAATGTTTTTTGTTAAATTAGATCGATTTTCAAACCCCAAAATTTAAAATATATTTACATTTTACCCATTATCTTATGTACCTATACATTATTTGTACATTGTAAAACATTTGCTGCATTTGTATGGTTCATAGTTTATTTGCCAAAGGATTTATTACTATAAATAGGTATATATGTTGTAGTTATTAACTGTATATTTTGTATATTTCATTTAAACTATATCATTTTTAAAATACAAACCAAAAATCTGAGGAATAATTATGTTTTCCATGTATTCTACAACATATTTATTAATCCGTTATATCTAACTAGCGTGACGTCATAAATCTCGCCCGTAGGCTGATCTTTTAATAGAAGGCACTGAACCACCTATCAAAGATTGAAATCGGAATTGTATTACCATAGAAACTTGTTATTTTTAAAAATGCAGCTATATTTTCATGTTTTTTTTTTATTTTCTCTCAAACAGAATATGTAGGTATATATCATGGAAATTTGAAAAAGAATAAACGAGATACTTTTTCAAATTTCCATGATATATACATATATAAATAAAGGGAAGAAAGAATTTATTGGGCAAGTCTACAGTAAGATTAGTCATGAGACATGACTAAAACATGACTACCCGTAGACACTCAATGTTTCTGCCTTCCGTCTTCGTCAATACGGGAGGAATCAGCAACGATGAACTATCCAAATAATTTTACTATCCAAATAATTAAACTATTCAAATAATTTTTTGCATGATTTTGCTTTTTAGAAAATAGTTTCATACACAATTTTAGAATAAAAAACAGAGACCGCGAAGCGGTCTCTGGTTTTTATTAAATTCAACTCTTTTCCAAGCAAAATTACGCGCAAAATATATTTGAATAGTTTAATCGGGCTTCGGTGAACTATCCTGATACACGATTTTTCTTAGAAAATGAAGTTTATGTTACCTTAAAATGAACTTCTTGGATTCTTTGACTAAAATCTGATGCGGAAAAACACGTTTCACATAAAAAATATTCTTAAAAATGTTATTTTATTTTTATAGCAAATTCCAGGGCAAATTCCATAACCGATAATGAAAGAGGGGCGGCATAGATAAAAGACTTATACACAAAACATCCCCCTTTAGAACTTCGTCTGTCATGTTAAGAAATGAAAGTAAATCTTTAAGTAAATAATAAAGCGCCTCTCGTGTTTGTTCGCACTCAAAAAATTTCAATTAATGCCTGTATATATTTTTAATATATTTTTTAAATTTACATTTTTTTAATTGTAAAGTAATATATTACATTTAAATGGAATATATTACATAACAATTATGTCAATTACAGGATTACAAGCTTGTTTTCTAACATTTTTAAATAAAACGAATTATAAAATTTCAATATATGTATATTTGTCGTAGGTATGAAAAAAGTAAAATATAAAATGGACAAACGCTTACTTACATTGCAATAAAACTTCCACTTTTAGTTTTGCAATCCAAACGCAATATTTCTATTTCACAAATAAAAAAATCCGACAAAACTAAAATCACTGAAACTTCCTCGACTGACAACGAAATCTGAAAAATATAACGGCACTTTTTGTTTTGGACCTGCATATCAACATTACGCTGTACTATTATGTGTTTGTTGTTGATGTAATATAAAATATCTAATTATAACTTGTAAATTTTAATATTTTAACATGATTTTAACTACTTTTGACTATAACTAACTTTTTGTTATCAAGATGACATTTTAGACGGCAACTGACATATATGTCATAATATTTGAATCTTAAATATATATGTAATATAATTTAAATTACTATAATGCAACTTTATACTAAGAAAACATTTATACATTCACAAAATACAACAAAGTCTAATAATATAGTTTGAAAACAATGAATATTGAATTAAAATTGAAAAAGTTAAGCGCGACCCCTTGTGTCAAAATTAGATGATTAAATTTTCGCAATTTTTACACTATTTGATGACCGGTGGCGCCTCTAGTGTTTGTTCGGGCGGTTGGTCTTTTACTCCCGCTTATGGCCATTAAAGAAAAAGTTCTAAAGGGGATGTTTTGTGGACTTATAATAGCGGCGGACTTGTTTATATCCGTTTCTATGTTTACGCTGACAGTAGTGAAGGTCGAATTTTGACAAATATTGCGAATTGATACATGGTTGTCAGATCAGCTAGTAAATTATCCGGAATTTCATGCATCTTTTTTGTTTTATCAAATTGGCTAAATTACCGCGCCGGCGAGACAATTGCTATAGTTATAGCTCTAGCAATGAAAACACGCTGTAAGCTGGAAGCCATCAAAGGAAAGAAAACACGCTGTAAGCGTGTTTTCAATTCTTTGGTTTGTGTTTGGCTCGGTTGGTTTGTGTTTGGCTCGCTTGAGTTGGTTTGGTTTGGTTTTGTATTGGTTGGTTTTGTATTGGTTGGTTTTGTATGGGTTGATTAGGGTTTGGTCGGGTTGGTTTGGGTTGATTTGGCTGTTTTTTTTTCTTTTTATCTGTTTGATTGATATTTTTGTTTAAACAAAAACGAAAAAAAAGCCACCAAAACACGCGTAAGCGTGTTTTGGTTGCTTTTGTTTCACTCTTCTGTTGTTTTTTAGTTTTCCCATTCACACATGACTAACGCATTTTTATTATTAAAAATGACTATTTTTTCAAAATAAAAATAAAAAACAGAAAAAGAAAATTCAGTGGAACTGGCAACATTGTTTTTCCTTTTGTCGCTGTCATGTTAAATCAAGTGTTAAAATTCAACGTAACGTCAAATATGTGTCAAAAACTACTAAAATTAAATTAAAATATTTTAAAATTCTGTGCATAATCTCCATTTATTTTTATTTAAAACTACTACTAAAAATGGGTACTTTTTGACAAAAAAAAGACAAATGCAAAAATCGTGTGTCAGGATAGTTCACCGGACCCGTTTAATCGATTAAATTTATAGGTCTCGTGATATAATATATGATTATCTCCACAGAAAAAAAAACTAAATGCTTAACTTTCTCTAAAGATCCAATAAGATGCAAACTGGTAGTAGAAAACAAAATTATTGAGCAAGTATCACAGTTAAGATACCTAGGAATAGATATGTCGCACTACCATGATCCAGAGAAATATCTGAGAAGGGGAACCTTAAAATTAACAGATTGAAAGATCTCAAATAAGTAAAAGAAGAAGAAGAAGATTATTCCTATACATAAACTTGTTTGTATACCACCAGTTTGGCATTTCTGGTCTTGAGTGCCGATTTTTGTGTGTACGGTCAATACGAGGGGTGTCTCATTTCGGTAAAAATGTACATGTACTGTCAAAATATAATTTTATTGCCAAGCGACTGCTAGTGACTATGAAGAAAACTGACTATGACTGCCATGTAATTATTATAGGCGATGTTATACAATGAACATTTCGCATTTTTATCTCTCCGACTTACTAGATTGCCATAGCGATCAGATGAGGATCCAGGATTCGCGAAAGGGGCGGGGGGCTAGAGTCAAAACTTTACTCGTTTTTTTCTCTTTTGAAGAAAAATATTTTGAGAAATGCAATCAAAAGATAAAAAACGGCTGCTGAGACTATCAAAATGTTAATATACTAATATTATGATGTTTAAACTATCCCTTTAAACGCAACTATTTCCAAAGCCTATAATAATACCATGAATTCACTGAGGCGTCGTTTCTTGTTTACCGTAATTGATATTTTAATTATTAGATATTAATACACCTATTATTATAGTATTCTGGTACATTGTCGATTTTTGAATATAATAATCTTTTTTATCTTATTTTTTTATTAGAATGGTCATAATGAAGAGGGCTACTGTAACCGCGTTATAAAAATAATCTAATTAAGGGCTTATAATTTTGCTAATATCTTTGGTTTGAAAGAGAATATCAAGATGTGGGTTTCACTGACTTTTAAAGCTTTTATTACTCTTTACCATCAGCTAAAATTACATCTACTGTCGCATTTAATTTTTTTGAAAAAACGCGCAATGTTTGTTAAATTGTAAGTCCGCGCCTCCTAGCGTCTACATTCAAAAACTTATTATTATCGTTTATACGGTATAATATTCCGTTTATCCAGTCCGAAGTTATTAATATTTAAATAAAAACAGATCGAACCTTCCCCCACTACTATATTTTGGCAGATAGTGGGAAATGGTTATAACAAAAAATATTCAAAATTTTCTGTAGATTATGAAGCTATTATTTATAGTACTAGTTATCTAGGCAACATTGTGTAAAAACTCAATTTTCTTATTTTTTATAGCAGTTGCGCCCTTTAGCGGCCGTTCTACAAACTTAAAAATAATTTCCAGCAATTTCTCATAGCCCCTTTATAGTTATAATTTTTTTTTGTACGCCCTACGACTAATACTTTCCGAGATACAGCCGAGATCTATTCTTAGTGGGACACCCTGTACATTTGTACATATATATTAAAAGTACTTTTTTTTCAGGATAAAAAAGATCCTGCTCAACAATCTGAAAACGTAGTTCTCATGGGCTGGTGCATTCCTGCATCATGTACGCCAACAGATTTGCAAGACTACCTCAACGAATATTTGTCATCAGTAGACACACCGTTGAGGAGAGAAAATGTTACTTATTCCGCAAGTATTTTGGAAAGCAGTTGTCAAGCCCAAAATGACGACAAAGGATTCGACCAAATCGATGTGTCTTTCATGTAAGTGTAAAAAAGTCCTTTAGATGATAAAATGTTGGGGGCCGAATTTAAATTACTCTGTATAGGGTGATGACAATTTTAATACTCAACATTGGTATTTCGGAAACTAGAAAAGATACGAATTCCGTTATTTGAAATAAAAGTTGCGTTATTAGAAGTTTGACAAATGCCTGGGACGAAAATACCGGTAACTTGATTAGTTCCCAATTTATGTAAAAAAATGAAAAAAAAATGTAAAATTATATGAAAAAAATATATTTGTTTTTTTTTATTTTAAATGACAATATCTCCACAAAACTATTGTATCAAACGTAAGTTGGTAGTTTGATATTTTTTACCTTGGCTAATTAAATGCCGCTTTCAGAAAATTTCTAAGCTTTTTAGATCCCGCACAACAACAGTCAAGTTTTTCTTTTCTTATGGCTACTATTTTGAATTTTTTTACCATTAGATAGTGCGAAAATAAATATATGTATATATACGGTTAGGGTTAGTTTATCCACTATTGATCCAATAATATCCAAAATCTTTAGAAAATTCAGATTTTCTTAAAAATATGCCCAATATCGGATAAGCTTTGGAAATCCAACCGACCGGACCCTTTATAGGAGGCAAAATTGTATAGTAGATATTATACAGGATGTCCGGAAATTAATGCAACAAAATTTGATCATAGATTCTTGAAAAAAAAATAGGTGACACGTATTCTTTATTTTTGGCGAGTGGCCCCCCTTTTCGGATTTACAGCCCCCCTTAATTTCGCCGCTAAAAAGAGTTTTTTTATATCTCAGGGCCCTGTTGGTCGAAAATCACTAAATTTGGTACACGTTGTTTTACCATAAAATAACATTTTTTGATGCTATTAACTTTATTTATTTTCATCAGTGGCGTCTCTACGGTATTTAAACTAAATATTATTAAAGAAAAAAATCGTATGCCGCTGTTTTTTTTAAATAAAAATTATTTTTAAAATCTACATTAAATTTGGAACAAATTTGATCTCTAGAGTTTTTTTTGGTACGACGCGCGACGCGACGCACCGTTTTCGCGTAAAAAAATAAAAACCATTTCATCAATCACCTATGACTAAATCGCTAAAATTTTACCGTAAATTTCAATGGCAAAATTTTTAAAACGGCAAACTTAAGTTTAAAATAATTTTTTATTTTCCAAAATCTTGTTTTTATTGCCTAAGTGCGGACCAAAATGTCCAAAAACCTAAATTGCCGTTTTTTAAATTTTGCTATGAAAATTTACATTAAAATTTTAGCGATTTAGTCATGTATGAAAATGGTTTTTATTTTTTTACGCGAAAACGGTGCGTTGCACGGTGGGGTATTAGCATGAAAAAGGTGATCGAAATTCGAAAAAGCAAATGTGTTTAAGATTTCCCAAAAAAAGATAAATGATAAGTTAAATCATCTCTGCCATGAATGGCGTTGCTATGGGTGTGTTTAGTTGCATTCATTTGTTTCAACGAAACGTCAAAGTTGTTACTTCTCACAGATAAGAGGTAAATGGCTAAATTTTATGTTTAAAATTATAAATTGTTGTTGTTCTTGTGCTCCTTTTACGTTTATTATTGTTTTGATTGAACTCAGCAAGCTGCAGGTATATATTCTACAAAAACATATTATTTATTTTGATATTCTCTATACTAACGATTTTTTCGCAATTAAAAGTTAGGCGTTCAGAAAATTTGATTAAATTTGTGACATTTTTATTATACTTAGAGATTTAGTTGCGCATTTCGAAGAATTCAGCATATTGTCTATATACGTTTACTAAACATTGGGCTTTCATACAGTAAAATAAAATACTGCGACTTTTTGCGACTTTGCTGATAAAATGAGAAAAACATTCTTAGTTTCCTCTAATTTGCAAATCAGTGATATACTAATGCGAAGTGTAAACCGGCGATGGCATTGTTGTGTACAAAGCGATCGCATTAGTGCCGTTAGCAGTATAGAACAATTTGGCATTAGTAGTGGCTTTAGTGGTATGGGCATTGGTCGCAGATCAGTAGTAGCATTATTACTATTAGTTGCGATATTACTACTGGCATTAGTGGCATTGACCGTGGAAACACGGGAACAGTGATTTTTCTTTTTGTTAGAATCGACGAATTATCCTTTATTTTGTTCATATCATTTCCTCTTTAATTGAAAATAGCAATAATTTATATAAGGTAAAATAATTTCGATCAACTATCGGTGTCAAATACCCCACTGTGCGTCGCGTCGTACCAAAAAAAATCAAGAGATCAAATTTGTTCCAAATTTAATATGTAGATTTTAAAAATAATTTTTATTAAAAAAGAACCAGTGGCGTACCATTTTTTTTTCTTTAATAATATTTAATTTAAATACCGTAGGGACGCCACTTATGAAAATAAAAAAAAAAGTTAATAGCATCAAAAAATGTCATTTTTTGTAAAACAACGTGTACCAAATTTAGTAATTTTCGTCCAACAGGGCCCTGAGTTATTAAAAAGAACTCTTTTTAGGGGCGAAATTTAGGCGGGGCCACTCGCCAAAAATAAAAAATACGGGTCACCTATTTTTTTTTCAAGAATCTATGACTAAATTTTGTTGCATTAATGTCCGGACACCCTGTAGAATGTATTGCTAGGGTCAACAATATACAGCGTGGTCCGAATTGTATTCCGGAACTTTTTCAGCATATTCTGCAGATAAAAATAAGTAAAAAAGTTCGTATAAATGTATGTACTAAAATGCTTAGTTTCGGAGATACAGGGTGTAGAAGTTTCATTTTTATTTCGATTTTTTCCAAATAATTTCTGAAGTAACGTCAATATTTGGATGAAAATTGCTGTTTGGTAGTTTTTTGACATGAGAAATTTGATTATGATGACAATATGACTCCTACTAGTAGAGGGCGCCACCTACATATTTCTTAACTGGTTTGGAGAGTAATAACTTTTTGTCCGTACCTGTATAAAACTACTGAGTAAAAAAATATACATTTAAAACGTTTTTTGCGTGAAAATGGTCTCTTGGTAAAAATCGCTACAAATAATGGTTTTCGAGATATTTGGAATCGAACTTATCAAGACCTGTCATCATTGACATAAATTAAACATGTTGACTAAATAGTTATTAGATTGAAATCATAAATTTGAAATGTTTTTGTGTCAAAAGTTCAACAGAAACTGTTATATCATCATTTTTTGCAGAAAAAATTATGATTAATTAAAAAAAATAAAAATTTCCCAAATTTATTATTTCAGTGAAATAACTATATCTACTCAACGTGTTTATTTTTCGTCAATAATGACATGTATTGACTATTTCCATTCTAAATATCTTAAGAACGGTTGCTCGTAGCGATTTTTACAAAGAGATATTTTTTACGTAGAAAGTGTTGGAAATGTATATTTTTTCGCTCGGCAGTTTTGTACAGGTATGGACAAAAAGTTATTACACTTCAAAACAGTTAAAACACATGTCGGTGGCGCCCTCTACTAGTAGGAGTCATATTGACATCAAAATCAAATTTCTCATGTCAAAAAACACCCAGACACCAATTTTCATCCAAATATTGACGTTACTTCAGAAATTATTTGGAAAAAATTGAAATAAAAATGAAACTTCTAAATTTTGTATCTCCGAAACTAAGCATTTTAGGACATACAATTATACGAACTTTTTTACTTATTTTTATCTGCAGAATATGCTGCCGAAGTTTCCGGAATACAGTTCGGACCACCCTGTTTACATAAATAAAGAAAAACGAAATATGTATGGTGTTTATCTGAAAAATGGTTGAATTTCTGATGACATTAAGGGTAAGAACACTGTACCCTGAAAGGCTACAGGCTCATCTTACAATTTTCTCAGGCATTTCTCGAAATTTTGCTGATACCGGTAAACTATCAATGTCTAAAAGGGCTGAATGATCATAAAACATGTCTTAGGTTAGACCGAAATATATCAGAAACATTTTAGCCGTGATCAGGGACACAGAATCTTAAGTCTTTTTTTGATTTGAATCATTTTAATGATTTGGTCTCCTGCGAGGAATATAAAAACCGATGTATTAAAAATAAAGCGTATTTTAGAGACGTTGTAGCCGCTACTGTACCGGATTTTGATAATTTGAACTGTTCTCTGATTTAACGGAATTCGTATCTTTTTTTCGATGCTTATTGGTGAGCAACGATATTATTACCACCCCGTATACCCAGATTTTGCCGTACTGTGTACTAATTTAGTTTATTTATCTAAATAATATTTATATTTTTTATAGATTGGTGACGTTGATAGTAGTCCTATTATTAATAGCATCGACTATATGTGACGTAATGTGGACTGATGAGGAGAAATTAGGAAAAGGTAAAACGTTTACTTTTTTTATAGACGGCGTCCGTTCTTCTCAAAGAGACATGGTTTAAATTAAAAAGAAGAAGAAAGAAGACTCTTTCTTTCTTCTTCTTTTTAAAACGTTTACTTATTATGATTATGTTGTTAAAAGTATTAACATTAAAACATCAAGAGTATTAAACAACAAATTTCCTTATATCTGTTAGAGGCAGATGCCGAATTCGCCCAATGTCCGAAATAATTAGACATATGGCGATTATAATTAAATATACCTACCTATATCCACAAAGTTACGCGGAAGAGTTTTGCATTGGTTTCAACTTTTATGCGGAGGATGTTAATCTTTTGTTGTTATATTATACCAAAAAAAGATTAACCCCTTCCGCAAAGAAGTTATATAAAGACTATTTATAACTACGAAGTTGCACGCACCTGGCAAGTTTAGTATGGACAAATCGCCATATGTCTAATTATTTCGGACATAGGCCGAATTCGGCATCTGCCTCCAACATATATCTATTGAATAAGTATGTTCTTTATGTCTGAAAACTTACGAGTATAATCTTAATATTACTATTACAAAAATAATTAGAGGTATGATTAATTATTATAATTCATATATCACACACCCTTTTTAAATAGTCAGACTACAGGATAAAAATATGGTCCTTTATTGAACTGATATATAATATTCAGCCTCATATCTCCGAAACTATAATTACAAAAACACAATTATTGTTAATGTATCATAATGTGTATTTCTTATCACAAATTTACTTAATATTTATATTTAGTTTTAATGTTATTCGAATTTTAATCGAAATAATTCAAAAGCAATAAATAAAAATTTATACTCTATGTTTCTCAAAAGTGGCTGTAACTTTTTACTTTTTTCACATAAGAAAACAAGATTTGGTATGTTAGTTTATGATATAAATGAGGATTGATTGACGTATTCATTTAATTTCGTTCCCTTCCTGTTTCACCGGAAATGACTACCTCTTTTGATTTTTAAACGATACCGTCGGTTATTTTTCACCTTATTTGATAGAAAATGACATTCTGATTACAATGACATATCATATGGAGGACTAAATCCCAACCGTGGAAGTGTGTGTTCCCTCGTAGGAAGTAGAAGATTCTCTCTTCGGAGGATGAATATGTGTTGTCAGAGGCCGATGGAAAATACCCTGTCCCCCCTACAACAGGATGAACCTATGTATGATGAGTTATAAACTGCATGATAAGTTATAATTACTCAAGAAAGGGGGTTGCAATAGTTTTTTTAGTTAAGGTCGCTGTGATTAACCCCCCTTCCAGTCATTCTACTACTAATTATACACTCAGCTGCAAAAAAACGCAACAGAGAAATTTTTGGTCAAATTTAAAGTGTTTATTTTTGTTATTTTTAGCCCTATTTTCATAGCTTTTTTAGCAAACTCTACATAATTATATCAACTTTAATTCGTAAACTCAGTTTTTTGTAAACTTCAGTAATTGGCATATTATACAGGGTCAATCGAGGGGTTGTTTTTTATCCTAACTTTAAAACACCCTGTGCAATAATTTCGTGTGTAAACTTTCCTAAAATATAATTTTACGGTAAGAACCATGTATTGTCTCCTGAGCATTTTGTTTTTTGGATCATGTCAATGCATGTTATGGTTAATTTTTAAAAGCGAAATGAACTGATCACGATCAATTTGCAATTTTTTCAGTTATCAAATGATCGTTAAAGTAAATACTTTTGATATAATTTTTTAAAAAGATGAGATAGTTTTGGTGACTATTGTCGTAACGTCATATTACGCTGCATCGGATACTCTATATTAAATTAGAAAAAAAAATGTTAAAGACTAACGATACAGTCCTGGTTTTAATAAACATTAATAACGATAACAGAACTATTGATATTAAGGAAAAAATCTGTAATACTGAAGTATACAAAGAGAAAAAAAATGTAAAAAATACCCTAATTCTTTGTATTGCCTCCCCTGGCTGCCATAAGTGCCTGTATACGTTTGTTCATATATTGTCATTGAGGCTGCATATATCATACTGCGATATGTTTTCACATTCTTCCTTAAGGACCAAGCGGAATTCATTTAATGAAGCTTGTAACGCTTCGCGACCTCTACGCTCCTGCCAATCATTTCCCAAACGTCGAACATGATGGGCAGTTCATAGTAGTATATATGTAGTTCGCAATAATCAGAAAAGCTGCCTTGTCATATTGAAAAAAAAACTTCAAAAATAACTTATAATTGAAAATATCGCAAATTGTTGGTGGCAAGTTCATTTCGCTCTTAAAAATTAACCAAGGCCTGTATTGACATGATCCAAAAAACAAAATACTCAGGAGACATGGTTCTGACCATAAAATTGTATTTCAGGAAAATTTACACACGAAATTATTGCACAGGGTGTGTCAACGTTAGGGTAAAAAAACAATCCCTCGATTAACTCTGTATAATATACCAAATACTAAAGTTTATAAAAAAAACTTAGTTTACAAATTAAAGTTGATATAATTATATGCCACGGCCCTAAATATAACAACAATTTGACTCGAAATACAAGAAGTATGTGTTATCCAATAATAAAATGCCTTTTCCAAATATGCTAAGGAGCTACCCTCGGTCTATCTGAAAAAATTGAGTTATGATTAAAAATTCGATTTGGGCATCTTTTTTTGGTCGCTTAAAAGATGCCCAAATCGTATTCTATTTTTCAATCTATTTTTCCAAAGCTCCTGGATTAAGAATTAATTATTTAACACAGCTATGGATGGCACTCTACATTGAAATTTAAAATGATATTTATTTTTAATTCAAAATGTCAAACGTTGATATATGATATGTCATTCAGAACGCCATTTTCTATCATATAAAGTAAAAAAATACCGAGTGTACCATTTGAAAATCAAAAGTTGTAGTAATTTCCAACCAACCAGTCAATCCCGGGTTAAGTCATAATATACTAACATACCAAATTCCGTTTTTTATCTGAAAAAATAAAAAAGAGGGGTGAGCCACTTTTGCAAAATATTCCGTTTTATTATCATACACTTTTCTATCATAACCTAAGGTGAAGCATAAGCTTAAGTGCATATTTTTTAAGGGTAAAAAGAAATGCAATGCGGTTTAAAAAATAATTTATAGCCAATCATCTGCCATAATATAAACGTACTGTCGAACTCTCTGATAACCAACTGACCAAACTCTGAAATTAGAGTATTTCGAGGAGTATTCTATGCTTCAAAATATGCCTTTTTATGATATACATAAACCGTATTTCTTTTATTTCAAGTCCCATAAAGTTTTATTACACCAAACTTGGTAATAATACCAACAGCAAGTAGTTCTGCAGTAGTACTTTATTCATTTAGAATCTTGACCATGTACAATAATATAATTAGTAGTATGTAAGGTAAAAAATACAAAAATAATAGAATCATCCGTAAAATTGTTCATACTTGAGGATGTAATATGTAATACATACATTTTATTTACATTTCATTACATTAAAATAATTTTTCTTTTTGTCCATTTTGGATCATAATTTTTAATTCGCTTTAATATTCTTTTGTGCCTTTCGGCCATTTTTAGTAAGATACTAGAATTATCTCATACCAAGATTTGTGCCAAGATCCTGATGGAATAATTTTCAGATTATGTTTATTATAATGATTTTTTTTCCTTACCTTGACATACAAGTTTAGACACCCATTAATATGAAAATTTTATTTCCATAATTTTAGGTTTTAGTAAAACTGTTAAAATTTATTGTTGTTCGAGAATCTTCTACATAAAAATTATCTTAAATCTCTCCCATAAAATTGTTTCGTTTCTGGAAAATAACCATTCGATAATATTTAAGTATTCACCATTAAATTTTTTTTATCTTTATATGTTATTATTTAATTATTAACAATTTGTTTATAAAATATTAATTTATTTAATTTATTCTACAACTAACAAAATAGGTTTTGAATTGTTATGTATAATTATGTTTATATTTTTAATAACCTTGACATAAAAGTTTGAGCGACACTTAAAATTTTATTTGCTAATTATTCTTGTTAAATTAAAATAATAATAGCTTTAATATGATATCTGTATTGATGGGAAATATTTTGTTAAGTTGTCGCATAATAGTTCATATTAGATCTTTGATATTAGTCATGTAAAAAACATTTGCAATGGCATTCGTAATTTTATGCCAATATTTTGCGAATATCAACTTTAGAAAAAATATTAAAATGCAAATAACATTGGATAAACTAAACAAAGAAATATGATTTATTAGTTAATATTTATAGTCTTGAACAGTTTCTACACTATTCCCGAAATGTGTCGCGAATATATTTCTGGACGTGAAACATTTCGCGAAACATTTCTAGAATACTTTCAAAAGTAAACCTTATGCTTTTTTTTATATTGCGGGGTCTTGGCTAATCTCGGCCGCAAACACCGAAACAGAGCGAAATCAACCGAGAAAAACCGTGATTGGTTGTTTGTTTATAATTGTTATTCGAATTATCTCGCGAAATCTTTCGACAAAACTTTTATAACACGCGTTTATATTCTTGAGAGAACATTGCTTTTAAAAAATGTCCGTAGACTATACTTTTGTTGACAACGGGTCAATGAATAATTTTCGCTCTCATCTGGACATATTGATGATGTTGTTAGTATTGCTCATTAAGCAATACTACAGTTAATTAATAAATTAAGTCCGTAAACATGACATCTATTAATTATTCATTATAATAAAATTAAATAATACAAATATTGTAATTATATTCCTGCAAATTAAGTAAAAAGTTTTGTTCTTAAATATCTGCTATACATTTTATAAACGCGTGTTCATATGTCAATCTTGTGGAAAATATATCGACATAACAAGATGTAATTAAAGAAATATCATTGTAACAACAGATATTTTAGAAACGTCAGGTCTGCTTATTTACTCAGTGAGATTCATGAAAAAAAGTCCTTTGTCTCGGGTTCAGAAACTGACATGTCGTGGAAGTATTTCGAGACATAACGAAAATGAATGAGACAACAGGAGACAACCGAAAGTGGCCAAAAAACGCCCCCTTCTCCGCGGTTTTCCGAGTAGTTTCGAGGCATTTTAAGAAATGAAAATAAGCCGAGACAAGCCGATATGAGACATAGGTAGACGAGTATGAGACATAGAAACACGGAATAACCCGTCTTTACTATTCGATGACCTTGACCTACTTCCAACTGTTTCGCGCATAATGTAGAGGGTGTTTAATAATTTCATTCTTTGAAGTTTTATTTGCATTAAATTACAAAAAATACTATTTATTTTAAGATTTTCTGTGTAGAAAGCGCGCTTAGTAAAAATCTAAGCGCAAGACCAGGACTAAGACTAAGACTGAACCCTGCAAGATTACTATTAACAGCAAAACCATAACCAAGACTCCCTTGGTCATGGTGTTGCATTTGCTCATCACTAAATACAAGTTTTAAGATATCAATTTAAAGGCTTCATTTAATAGATATTAACATAAATAATATTAAATCCTATATTTTTGTTGTTATTTTAAAAATTAATAATTATTCATTTTGACAACTTTATTATTTCTGTTGTAGGCTCATCTTTAAGACGGCTATTAGTCTCGTTTTCTATAAAGAAAAATTATCCAAGACTAGGTCACAGTGATGATTCCAATCCAGCCCTTAAGGTTCTTTATGGTATGAGAGTGATATGCATTTGTATGATCATAACGGACCATAGATTTGGAACATTTTTGAGCAATGCTATCATGAATTTCAATGAAGTTGAAGAGGTATTTTATATATATAGGGTGTCTCACAATCTAGATACGAAAAAGTGTAAAAATAGAAAAAATATATTTTTCTGTTTTTGGGACACTATGCACAGGGTGGCGCCTCTCATACGACGCGGAGGCTTCGAGGAGAACGACAATTTTTTTATTAAAATCAAATTTGGTGAACATATGCAGGTTAATTTAGAGCATTTTTTAAAAATATAGAGAGTTGTAACAGGGTATCACCAAAAAAGGTACACACCAAAGTTTTTTTTTTTGTAATGGAACATCCTATATATTAATTGATTTTCCGATTTTAGGAATAAAATAAAGGTGATTTTTTTAAAGAGGTATATGGACTAAAAAATGTAAGGTTTTTGAGATTATTTAATATTTTCTAAAAATGAAGAATAATTTTTAAATTTCAATAAAAGCTACTTAAATTAAAATTTACCCGGGATAATCTAATATGTAGTTAAAATAACTATTGTACTTTAAATCAAATTAAAACTTGACACAAAAAATTATACAGGGTGAGACAAAATTAATATTAAACATTGGTCATATTTAAAACCAAGTTACTCTTTTATTTTAAATGGAGCACCCAGTATATTATTCCGATATTCAATGGGGAATTCATGACTCTTCAAAATAATATTAAGGTACTAACCAAACAAAGATTTTCCTAGATATTTTCATTTTTATGATTAAGTGTCAGTAGATCTTTATTAGTTGATAAAATCTAGGTGGCTGTGTTATAGAAGAATTTTATACTGAATCTGGCGTTAATCTGACACATTACAGTCTGCATACATTTTAGTCTGACGTTACTTCAACATAGCTGTCAAATCAGTTCAACTTTAACAACTATTATAGTTATCATTTTGTGGCAGTTAAAACAAAAAAAAATCTTAGAAATTTGCAGAAAATAAAAACTTGTAATAGGTATAAGTATCAAAGAGAATTGATACGATTATATTAGTTGGTGACTGTAGAGTGCATTCTCCAATTAAGATAATATTTAAGTGCTCCTGATTCTTCTGGTCTGGACTTTTTTATGGGGATTTGTTAAAGACAGTGTTCACAAAACTCGACCAACTATTATCGACAACATGATTGCGGCTGCTTTTCGAAGTAGTAATAGTAATTCCACATATGGCCTTTTAACATGAAAAGATCTTTTGAAAAGCGAATCATTTTATGCAGTGAACAAGAAAGAAAGCATTCTGAACATTTGATTTCATCTAGCTAATTTTTGTCACAAAATTAAACGTTTATATCTAGTTTAAATTCTGTATTAATTAAAATACGTTTTAAACGCGTATTTTTTATTACTGTTGAGTATTTTAACAAAAAATATATCACAGCTACCAGATTTTACGAAATAATAAACATCTACTAACGAAAAATCATAAAAATGAAAATACCTAGGAAAATCTTTGGGGGGTAGGCAACCTTAATAGTCTTTTGAAGATATATGAATTCTTCATTGTATACCGGCATAATATACTGGGTGTTTCATTTAAAATAACGGAGTAACTTGATTTTAAAAGTGACCAATGTTTAATATTAATTTTGTGTTACCCTGTATATCTTTTCGGGTCAAATTTTAATTTGGTTTAGGTTCAATGGTTATTGTAATTAAATATCAGGATATACAGGGTAAATTACAATTTAGGTAGCTGTTATTGAAATTTAAACTTTATTCTTCATTTTTACAAAATGTGAAATATGTCAATATCCTTACACTTTAAACATATGCTTTTTTAATGAAACCCACCCTTATTTTTTCTAGAATCCAGAAATTAATTAAGATATAGGGTGTTCCATTACAAAAAACCCAACTTTTATGCATAACTTTTTTTGGGGACATTCTGTAGTATTGTCCTATATATATTTTTATAAAAGCCTTTCAATTAACCTACATATGTTCCCAAAATTTAATTTCGATATAACTACCGTTCTCCTTGGAACCTCCGCGTGGTATGAGAAGTCACCCCGTACATAATAGACTTTATAAGAGTCTATAAATATTTAATCATAATATATTTTAAATTGTTTTAGCAATACAGATCAACACTTGGAACACTTTTTTTCCATGGAGATCTCTTTGTAGATTCCTTCTTTATCCTTAGTGGTATTCTCGTCACTTACTGCCTTCTAATACAGTTCGATAAGAAAGTATTAAATCCAGGATTCATTATCCTTATGAGATACATAAGGTAAAGCATTTTTTTCTAAAATTTCACTAAAGTGGACAAACAGATCATTTGATCTAAATATAATAAAGTTTAAGTCAATAAAAAATATTGTTTGTTAAACTTTTTTATTATTTTTATTATATATAAAGTTAATAAGTTAATACAAGTACCGTATGATCGAAAAAAAACGGCGTCCAGTTGGCTGGGAAATGACGATCGATGACATTTCCCATATAAATTTACATATAAAATGACAGCGATCTTTATTTCATAGCCAACGCTGACGCCGTTTTTTCTCGATCATACAGTATTTATTTAGAGAATATTATTTTTAGACTGACCCCTATGTACGCTTATGTGATTTATTTCTGCGCTACCATGTTCTATTTTGTTGGGCATGGACCGATGTGGAAGACGATCATAGCACCGGAAGTCCAAGATTGCAGGGAAAATTGGTGGACAAGCTTACTGTATGTCAGTAACTACGTCAATGCAGATCACATGGTAAGTGTAACAACTATCAAGAAAAGATGCAACTAGATGATAAAATTATTTTTAAATTGTTTGCTTTATTAACATATTCAACAAGGCCCTTGCGGCCGCAGTGGATGGTCCCATGGGACCCACTTTTAGTCAAATACAAAACATATTCAACAGGGTGTTTCAATCTTTTACCTAAATATCAATATTTTGTTTTCCCTCGTATAATAGACAGATGGAAACTTTAATTTTTAATTTAGAAAAATATACAAAAAGTCAATAGTAGATGCCTTCTTATTCATTTCAATTGTCAAGAAAGATATTAATTGTCAAAATAATTTAGCAACAAATACTTTCATGAAAATGAGTCCACTAGAACACAATATACAGGATGAGTTTTCAACGATATTCTCTATGCGTATCTCGGAAACTACTGCAGATAGAGAGTCGGTTAAATGGGGGAAGAATTGCCGTTTTGTGTGGTCATAACCATAACTATGTGCCTTTCAGATTTTTGAAAAAGTTCATGGCTTACTAGATACAGGGTGGCCCATCGAAAACGTTCCGCAAGGCATAACGGCCAGGGTAATTTTTTTTTCAGAAAATTCAAAAACACGTCAATTTTGTTTCTGAGGGGGACTTTTGCACCAAAAATTATTGCAAAATCTTCAACCCTCTAAGCGGGGGTGTCATCTCCCGACTTTTTTTAAATGGGAAGGGTGGTCAAGTGGTACCGCAATGAAAAGGGCTTTGTATTTTTTATACTTTCCTGCTTCGTTTTTGAAGATCGGTCGAGTCATTGGGAAAATATGAAGGATTGAAATTTGAAAAGTTTTTTAAACATTTATCAGAGTGAATGATAAGGATAAATTCCTTCGACCAATTTGCTGTTTTTTCTTATTATTTCTAGATGTTTGCAATCGATAATTGCAAAGATATTAATTGGGTATAACTCAGTAATTTAAAATAAAAACATATTATAGCTTATATAGCTGAAAAGCTTAAAAATAGCGCTTTTATGAAGTCGTGGCTATGGTTTCCATTTAAAAAAAACATATGTTTGTGTCATATATCAAAAGTGGCAGGCTTAAGAAAAAAACGCAGAACACAATCTCATTAAGGATGTGATTATCTAAAACTTTTATCTGAAAAGTTTTGGTCGAAGATAGATTATAATGGAATTAGGAACCATTTCTAATATAGCCAAAATTTGTTTTTTTTTTCGAAATATCTAGTAAGCTATAAACATTTTCAAAAATCTGAAAGGCGCATATTTATGATCCGACAAAACTGCAATTCTTTCCCCAGTTAACCGACTCTCTATCTCCAGTATAGTTTCCGAGATACCCAGAGGGAACATCGTAGAAAACATCCTGTATAAAACTTTACTTCAAGGTGTCCGTTTTTCGTGCCGATGAGTGTAATTCCGAAAAAATATGTTTTCTGGATTTTTAAACTACACCATTTAAAAATAATTTTTACTCGATATAAAAATAAATTACAAACCTTCCTAAGGCCAATTGGCAGTAAGCGCAATTAAGATTACCTAACAAAAACATAATTTACCCAGTACAAAGATAATTTGTGAGAATTGTGCATTAATTATTTTTCTCTTGTTTATCTTTTCAGTGTATGGTGCACAGCTGGTACCTGCCTTGCGATTTCCACTACTTCATAGTAGCCATATTCCTCTGCCTCCTCATCAGCAAAAAGAAGAAAACAGGACTTATATTGTTAGGCATCACTTTCATCACATCTATAGTAGTACCTTTCGTTATAGTATTTGTCAATACTAGACCCGCAGTGTTGTTCTTTTATTTGGACTTTATCAGAAGTCCCAAAACTCATCCCGATTTTCTGTTGACGTACGTCAAATCGCACGCTAGGAGTACGCCCTATTTCGTAGGTATGGTTGCCGGGTACTTGTTCTACAGGATGAGAGAAAGAAAAGCCAATTTAACTTGGGTAAGTGTACTAAACGTCAGTGTATTGAAAGATAACGAATGGGTTGGGAAATAGGTAGTACGTTTTACCAACTATAATTTAAAAACATCAATATTGCTTTTAGGGATTTTCATTTCCACTGGTTTATTAAAAGGATTATTTAGGTTCTAATTTACTACTCGGGCATTTGTAATTGTAATATATTTCTTTTATATTTTACACCTTAAAGAAATTTCATATACAGGGTGACACCGGCTTCCGAAATAACTTTATATTAAGTTCTCGGTTTGTGATTTCTATTTCAATTTTTTAGATAATATGGGGGCAATGGTAATGCACATTTTGAAAACATGTATGTCAACATACAGAGTGATTCAAACATATTTTCAGACTAAAGTTTTATTTTTTTAAATGGAATATGTATTATACACTTTTTAGGTCAGTGGATTTGCCATTAAATGTCCATTCCAAAAATGCCATAATGTCGTATACTATACTGAGTGATTTTTGAAATGAAACCGTTTTTACTACCGTTAAATTTACTGCTTATTTTAAGCCGTCTCAAAATTTTAAATAAGAAGAATTATAGGGAGTAGTGTATGATCCTAGTGTATAGATCCTAGTGTATAGATCCTAGTGTATAGATCCTAGTAACCCTTCCTATACCTAAAATCGATATTTAATTGATTATTAAAATACTATTATTATAATACTTTATTGAAATCGAGAAAATTTCAAAAGTTTCTTTGAAAACATAAGACAAGATTTGACATTCGCAGATAAAAAAATTGACGCCGGGAGGTACGTATAGCCGCCCATACTAAAATATGTTAATATCTCGAAAACTGTGACTTTGACTGATTTTGATGTTATTACAAATTTTGTTGCAAATATTATTCCTAATTTTAATTTGAAAACCGCGTTTCGCTAACTTAAATTTTGGAGTTACGATTTTTTAAAATTTTTAACCCCCTCCCATACCCCCTTACCAACCCCCCACCCCCACCAAAAACGAATGGCCAGATTCTCGGGTGCCACAGTATTTTTGTGCCAAATTTAGTTAAAATCGGTTCAGCGGTTTTTGAGTTATCGTGTTACAGACGGACAGACAGATGTCCGTCCATGGGATGGACAGACAGACAGACAGACAGACACCATGAAAATATTTTGTATTTAGGTCATTTATGACCCAAATAACTCATTTTGAGTGAAATTAAAAAAACTTTTTTTGCCGATCCTAATAGCCTACCATACCTATTGGTATGGTCGGCTAAAAAAGATATTTGGTATGTTAGTATATAATATAAATTAGGATTGATTGACATATTTTGCTATAAAATCGTTAAAAAAAATATTTATTATGGACATTGTTTTTGATCACTTCCTGTTTAAATTACTACAACTTTTGATTTTATACGGCACCCCCGGTATATTTTTCCTTTATTCGAAAGAAAGTGACACTCTGTGTAGAAAGACATATCATATGTCAATTTTTGACATTTTCGTATATGGTCTATTTGAAAGTGTGTAACATGCGGTTCATAAAATTCATTCGAAATACCAAGTGTGTGGTACCAAATTATTCGTAAATTTTTTTTTTCCAAATATGCTTTTCCAAAAATGTTTTTTCCAAATATGGACATCTTTTAACCGGCCAGGACAAGACTCAAATAACATTAGACGATCAAATCTATTTTTCCAAGGGTCCTTGATTAAACATTAGTGTTTTTAACGCAGACAGGGCACTCCAGATTGAAATTTAAAATTCAATTTTGTTTTAAGAAAATATGTTAAAAGTTGACATATGATATGTCATTCTATTTAGAATGTTATTTTCTATCGAATAAAGTAAAAAGATACCGAGTGTGCTATTTAAAAATCAAAAGTTGTAGTCATTTCCGGTAAAACAGGAAGTGACAGAAAAGAATTGAATACGTCAGTTAATCCTAATTTATGTCATATACTAACCTACCAAATCTCGTTTTTTTATATGATAAAATAAAAAAGTTATAGAGGTGAGCCACTTCTGAGACGCGCCCGGTATAATAAACAGTTTTACAATTCTTCGTATTTAGAATTTTGGGAGGGCTTTAAATAAGCTGTCAGTTTAGTTTAAGTACGGTTATATTTCAAAAATTACTCGGTATAGAATATGACATTATGGTATTTTTGGAATGGAAATTTCATCCCAAATCTATCAAGTTAAAAATATATACATATAGTATTAACTTTTGTTTGAAAATATGTTTAAATCGTCCTGTATATTTATAAAAATATTTTTAAGTTGTGCGCTACCAATGCTCAATATTCTGAAAGAAATGGGGAATAAAAAAATACAGGGTGTTCAAAATTCTACGCCAAACTTTCTAAAGTATAAAATTACTTTTCTTCGTTTTTTTTTAACGGAACACCCTGTATGTTATTTTTTCATTGCTTGATGTTTGTATACTACATTGGTAATCAAATGTGGATTTATAAATAAATGGGTAATTCTATGATTTTATTACTATATCAATAGACGAATCCACAAGGAACCTAAGAGGCTACTCTAATAATAATAAATCAAGGAAGAACCTTCAAGAATCTGATTTGCGTCGGTGTCTGACCTACTGTAACTAGACTAGAAATAAATAAAAAAATACTAGTGACGTAACTGCAGGTCGCCAATGAGATAAAACAAGAAGAGAAAGTGGCAAAATTGGTCGATTTCGTAACCCAGTGTCCCAGTGAGAGACGAGTCCGACATTAGGCTACGGTGCGGCGTTAATAAAAGTAAAATTATAAACGGTTACAGGAACAAAAAGTGACAGTTATACCACGGATTAGGTATACTATATGTATACAGATAAAAATTTTATCGCTAATTTGTGGTACGAAAATTGTTTTTTATGACGATGTGCAAACGAGTAAAATTTCCTGTGCACAAAAATAAACTCGCGTAAAATGACAATAAACAGCGTAATAGAGAGATATCGCTAAACCGAATAGCGTGCATGGACGTTAATAAGGCCAGGTGTTATTTCCTTTACGTGACGTGGTATTAACTCTCTTCATTTATAGTTATCGGATCGGAAAGAATTCTGTTCGCGTCGCGTCCGCTATTTAAAGTTAACTTAACTTTGAATTTAAAACTTTGAAATTGTTTTGTTTACTAGGTATTTTAAAACTAAAGGGCTAAAGTGCTTATTTCCATAGTGCTTTATTGTTCAACGTCTGCCAGTGGGTTTAGGTTTGGTTTAGGGCAACAAGCAACAAATTCTCTTAGAAGGGCTAAGTCGTCATCTGCTGTAAACCTAAGCCTTTTTATAGGTTCTTTAATATTGGAAGAGGTGGAATATTTTGGTCCATGATATTGGATGGTATAAAGATGGAAGATGGTATATGATTGGTATAAAGATGGAATATTTTGGTCCCATATTTATTTAATTAAAACTAATCCCAGCTAATTAAATATCAAATTACCTAATAAAACTAAATTAATAATTCAAAACAATTCAAACAACCTAAAATAAAAGATCTCGCCGGCCGGCCCCGGTTGTCAAATACCCGCACATGCCCAGTTCAGCAATTTTTAAACGTTATTTATAAATAGCGCTTGGTGTAATTGATCCGCAAATTACGTCAGGCGTTACGTTATTAGCGGGTGTTGCGTTAAAAATTGACTCGCGCATATCGTAACCATGATAAGGTACACGTAAATACTGCATGACGCTATTCGGTTTTCCGATATCTCTCTAATAACTGGTCTGGCGCTGTGCACAATTTTAGAGGCCATAAATGGGCGTGCTATGTGCGCAAACTAGTTATCTAACTAGTGCCCGATTCCGAAAATTGGAACCACGAAAAACAATAAAGAAAAAGCAAAGTTTATAATCTATACTGACATACCATCAAAACACGAGGGAAGATCCAAAGATTTTTTATGTCCCCTTTTGTTAGTTCAAATCTTTCAATGAAAATATTAAGGGAGGAGTATACAGGGTGGTCCGAACTGTATTCCGGAAACTTTGGCAGCATATTCTGCAGATAAAAATAAGTAAAAAAAGTTCATATAAATGTATGTCCTAAAATGCTTACTTTCAGAGATACAGGGTGTAGAAGTTTAATTTTTATTTCGATTCTTTCTAAATAATTTCTGAAGTAACGTCAATATTTCTATGAAAATTGGTGTCTGGTAGTTTTTTGACATGAGAAATTTGATTTTGGTGTCAATATGACTCCTACTAGTAGAGGGCGCTACCTACATGTGTTTTAACTGTATTGAAGCGTAATAACTTTTTGTCCGTACCTGTATAAAACTACTGAGCGAAAAAATATACATCTCTGACTTTTTACGTAAAAACTATCACTTTGTAAAAATCGCTACGAGCAACCGTTCTTAAGATATTTAGCAAGGAAATAGACAATACATGTCATTATTGACGAAAAATAAACACGTTGAGTTAGTTATTTCACTGAAATAATATATTTAGGAAATTTTTATTTTTTATCATAAATTTTTCTGCAAAAAATGATGATAAAACAGTTTCTGTTGAACTTTTAGTATAAAGACATTTCAAATTTATGATTTCAGTCTAATAACTGTTTAATCAACATGTTTAAGTTATGTCAATGCTGACAGGTATTGATAATTTCAATTCCAAATATCTCAAAAACCATTACTCGTAGCGATTTTTACCAAGAGACCTTTTTCGCGTAAAAAACGTCGTAAATGAATACTGTTTTACTCAGTAGCTTTATACAGGTACGGACGAAAAGTTATTACTCTTCAAACCAGTTAAAAGATATGTAGGTGGCGCCCTCTACTAGTAGGAGTAATAATAACATCAAAATCAAATTTCTCATGTCAAAAAACTCCTAGACACCAATTTTCATCCAAATATTGACGTTACTTCAGAAATTATTTGGAAAAAATCGAAATAAAAATGAAATTTCTACACCCTGTATCTCCGAAACTAAGCATTTTAGGACATACATTTATACCAACTTTTTTACTAATTTTTATGCGGTCGAAGTTTCCG